ACTGGGAATGCAAGTTCCTGTTGTTCTGCATCCTCAGCAACATTTGGTGGTGTCATTCTTTTGGCTTTTGGCCATTCTCTTGGTGTTTTGTGGTATCTCACTGTTTTAATTGCAATTCTCTAATGCTGTATGATGTTGAATATCTTTTTGTATGCCTATTTGCCAACTGTGTATCTAATTTGGTGAGGTGTCAATTCGGGTCTTTGATCATCTTTTAATTGTATTGTTTCTTTTTTTCTTTCCTTTTTTCCCCCCCTGTACTGGAAATTATACACAGGGGTGCTTAACCACTTAACATCTGCACCTCTTTTTAAAATTTTATTTAGAGGCAGGATCTGCCTGAGTTGCTTAGGATCTCACTAAGTTGCTGAGGCTGGCTTTGAACTTTCAATCCTCCTGTCTCAGCCTCCTGAGCCATTGGGATTACAGACATGCTCCACCATGCCTGGTGGATTGTTCATTTTTTTGAAGTTTTTTTTTGGAAAATTTTAATTTTCGATTTTTAATTTATATGTAATGATTGTACATATCTATGCTGCATTCTGTAGTGTTTCCATACATGTATACAGTATGTAATGGTCAAGCTTGAGTCATTAGTATATCTATTACTTCAAACATTTATTATTTTTGGGGGGTGAGAACATTCAAAATTCTTGCTTCTAGCTGTTTTGAAATATATGATATATTATTGTTGCCACAATGTGCAGTAGAACCCTAGAACCTGTTCCTCTGTCTGTAACTTTGTACTTTTATTCACACACCATTCTCTCCACCTTTTTCCAGCCTCTGGTAACCATCATTTTTTTTCCCCTACTTCTATGAGATCCACTATTTTAGATTCATAAATGAGGGAGCTCATATGATATTTATCTTTTTGTGTGTGGCTTGTTTCATTTAATATAATGCCCTCCAGGCTTATCCATATTGCTACAAATGCCAGGATTTCATTCTTTATGGCTGAATAGTATTGTGTTGTGTAAACAAATCACCTTTTCTTTATCTGTTGGTGGATGTTTCCATATCTTGGCTGTTGTGAATGATGCTGCAATGAATGTGGGACTGCAGGTGTCTCTTCAACATACCAATTTAATTTCCTTTATCTGTGTACCTTGTAGTAGAATTGCTGGATCATATGGTAGTTTTGTTTCTAGTTTTTTGAGGAACCTCCATACTGTTTTCCATAATAGTTATGCTAATTTACAGCCCCACCAATAGTGTAGAAGTCCCTTTTCTTCCTATCTTTACTAGCACTTGTTATCTTTTGTTTTTTGGCTAATAGTCATTCTTACTAGAGTGAGGTGATATCTCATGGTTTCGACTTGACAGATTATTAATGATGTTTAGCATTTTTTAATATATATACCTGTTAGCCATTGTATGTCTATTTTTTATTTTTTTAAATTTTGAGACAGAGTCTCACTGTTTTGTCCAGGCTGACCTTGAACTTGTGATTCTCCTGTCTCAGTCTCCTGAGTAGCTGGGAGTATGGGCAAGCACCACCACACTCACATTGTATGTCTTCTTTGGAAAAGTATCTCTTTAGGTCTATTGACCATAAGGTTTTTTTTGCTATTAAAATACTTGAATTCTTTATATACTCTGGTTATTAACCCATTGTTGCATGCCTACTTTGTAAATATTTTCTCCCATTCTGTAGGTTGTTCTTCATTGTATTGATTATTTTCTTTGCTGTGTAGAAGCTTTTTGGTTTGATATAATCCCCTTTGTTCATTTTTGGTTTTGTTCCTGTGCTTTGCAGGTCATATCCAAAAAAGTTACTGCCCAAACCAATGCCATGAAACATTTCTCCTATGTTTTCTTCCAGTAGTTTCATGGTTTGGGGTCTTAACATTTAAATCTTCAACTTGTTTTTGAGTTGATTTTTGTACATAATGAGAGGTAGGGTTCTAGTTTTCATTCTTCCACAGATGAATATCCAGTTTTCTCAACACCATTTGTGGAAGATGTTGTCCTTTTCCCAATGTGTGTTCTTGGAACCTTTGTCAAAATGAGTTAATTTTTTAATGTGCAGATTTATTCGTGGGATCTCTGTTCTGTTGCATTGGCCTGCATGTCTGTTTTTATGCTGGTACCATTGTTGATGTGTTTTGTAGTCTGTTAGCAGATACCTTAAGCCTCCCCCACCTTATTTTCCTCAAGATTGCTCTTGTTGTTGTGAGTCTTTTGTGATTTCATATGAATTTTAGTATTGATTTTTCTATTTCTATGACGAATATCGTTGGTACTTTGATGAGGATTGCATTAAATCTGTACATCCCTTTGGGTAGCATGTCCATTATAATGGTATTCTTCCAACCCGTGAGCATGGGATATCTTCTTGTTGGTGAGCTTTATGAGTTCTTTGTATATTTTGTATAATATAGGATATAATATAGGATAATATATTTGTTCATTTGTACAATAGTATTTTATCAGATATGCCTTTTGAGAAATATTTTCTTCCCATCTATGCCTTATTTTCTCATTCCCTTGAAAATTGCCTTAGTTTGAATAACAAAACATTGCTTGAACATAATTATAAAAAGCCCTCAAACAGTATCATTTTGTGTTCTTATAGAGGTTACCTGACCGATTTAGCTTTAAAAGCAAGTTAAAGTGATCAAATACATTTAGGATACTCCTAAGGCAGGTGTTGTGAGAGCATTGAGTAAATGGTTTATGTTGTGGTAATCACAAATATTTGTATACTTATAAGGTAAATGGGAAAAAAACCATTGTCCCTGTTTCCTGTAAATGAGTTCTTGGAGCTTTGATGAAAGTTCCAGTCTGGGCTGGGAATGTAGCTCTGGTGGTAGAGCTCTTGCCTAGCATTTGTGCAATCCAGAGTTCAGTTCCTAGTATGAGGGAAAATTTCTTGTGGGATAAAAAAGTATTGTTTCTCACAACATGATAGTGGGAATAAAATGGGCATATTCTGGAAAATTGTGTTGCATGAATGAAAGGTGGCTTTAGTGATAGTAGTGATGAAGGTGTATCTGCAAATGAACAAAATGGTTACATTTCAAGGGATTCTTTTGTTTGTTTTTAAATTCCTTTTCTAACATTGTATTTGAGATCACTTGAAGTTGCCTGCTTTTTTTTTTTTTTAATTTTTTATTGTGGGTTGTTCAAAACATTACAAATTTCTTGACATATCATATTCCACACTTTGATTCAAGTGGGTTATGAACTCCCACCTTCACCCCATACACAGATTGCAGAATCACATCAGTTACACATCCATTGATTTACAAATTGCCATACTAGTGTCTGTTGTGCTCCACTACCTTTCCCATCCTCCACCCTCCCCCCTCCCCACCTCTCCCCTCCCCTCCCCTCCTCTCTCTCTACCTCCTCCACTGTATAACCCTGAGGGTCTCCTTCCATTACCATGCAATTTTCCTTCTCTCTCCCTTTCCCTCCCACCTCTCATCCCTGTTAAATGTTAATCTTCTTCTCCTGTTCTTCGCCCCTACACTGATCTTAGTTACTCTCCTTATATCAAAGAAGACATTTGGCATTTGTTTTTTAGGGATTGGCTAGCTTCACTTAGCATAATCTGCTCTAATGCCATCCATTTCCCTGTAAATTCTATGATTTTGTCATTTTTTAATGCAGAGTAATACTCCATTGTGTATAAATGCCACATTTTTTTTATCCATTCGTCTATTGAAGGGCATCTAGGTTGGTTCCACAGCCTTGCTATTGTGAACTGTGCTGCTATGAACATCGATGTAGCAGTGTCCCTGTAGCATGCTCTTTTTAGGTCTTTAGGGAATAGACCAAGAAGGGGAATAGCTGGGTCAAATGGTGGCTCCATTCCCAGCTTTCCAAGAAATCTCCATACTGCTTTCCAAATTGGCTGCACCAATCTGCAGTCCCACCAGCAATGTACAAGTGTACCCTTTTCCCCACATCCTCGCCAGCACTTGTTGTTGTTTGACTTCCTAATGGCTGCCAATCTTACTGGAGTGAGATGGTATCTTAGGGTGGTTTTGATTTGCATTTCTCTGACAGCTAGAGATGTTGAGCATTTTTTCATGTACTTGTTGATTGACTGTATGTCCTCCTCTGAGAAGTGAGAGATGGCGGCGAGGGGAGTGCATTGCCCCCGTGTGCTGCTTCACTGTGTGGGAGTATGACAAGTCAGGACGGCCTGCTTTTGATATACAGTATATTCTAGGAATTTATTTTTTCCCTACTAAGTTGTGGGACATGTTTGCATATGGGATGCTATTTGTTTGAGAGTAGCTCAACTAACATTAGGCAAATTGAATGGAGGGACCACAGCATTCAAAGCCCCTGTTCCCACTTTTTTTCATCTTATTTTTTTCTTTATTATTTATTTATTCTAATTTGTTATACATGATGGCAGAATGCAACTCATTTCATATTATACATATTGAGTACAATTTTTCAAGTCACTGGTTGTACACAAAGTATTTTCACACCATTTGTGTCTTTGGGTAATGATGTCTAACACATTCAACTGTCATTCCTACCCCTTGCCCTATGTATATCTAAAGATTCTCCATCCCCCCCGCCCCTCCATTGTGAGTTAGCATCCTCATATCAAAGAAAACATTTGGCCTTAGGTTTTTTGGGATTTGGTTTTTGGGGATTGGATTAGCATTATATTCTTCAGTTTCATCCATTTACCTGCAAATGCCTTATTTTATTCTCTTTTAATGCTGAGTAATATTCCATTGTGTATTTATACCAAAGTTTCCCTGTCCGTCTACTGAAGGGCTTCTGGGTTGGTTCAAAGTCCCTTTTTATACTGTTGTTTTTTTTTTAACAGTTGGAATTGTTGATTTTCTTCATTAGGATGCTCTTTGAGGGAACTCTGAATTTGTTTTTTGTTTTATTACTCTTTATACTTTTATTAATTCCATGGTATGTTGTCACATTGCCTTTTGACTTACCTATCCATGATTTATTTTCTTTTTCTCTTTTGAGAAATCCAAATTGTTGAATTGAACAGATTTCTTGCTTTACAGGATATTGTACCTGTGGATGCCTCTTATGAAGTGAAAGAACTGTATGTACCAGAAAATAAACTTCATCTGGCAAAAACAGATGCAGAAACATTACCAGCATTGAAAATAAATAAAGTAAGTTCTGTGTTGCTTTTCAAACTGATTGGTGCAGCCTTCTGTGCTTGTTAGGATGGTGAATGTTTGAGCAGTGTTTGAGGCCAGAGGTGGTGGGAGGCTGGGGGGTGAGGGTGTTATGGTGTATATCATAATTTTCCAGGATGGGGAATATATTTAGTTTGTGAAACAGTATTCCTGCATTGCCATTGCTTTAGTCATAATATGTATTTATTTTGAAATATCAAATAACAAAAGATTGTATGAGATTTTTAGCTTAAGAGAAAGAATGGGTTCTAAAACCTTAAGAAATACTAATCCATAATAACTAAAATGAACATTTTTCCTCTAAACATGTTTTCTAATCTCCTGCCCAATACTTGACCCTCTCATATATCAAGAATGATTCTATTTGTTTATCTTAGCTCTAATGATAATCATTAGGGTCTTTCCTAGAAAATCTTACTTAATTAAACTAGGCATGATGAAATGGAAACTCTTATTTACAAATTTTAGAGAATTTTAAGTTGTACCATTTACGTGTATTTTAAAAACATAGATTAAGGAATAAAAATATGGAATAAAAGCTGGATTTCCTAGCCTTTCTTCTAAGATAGTACAAATCCAAACCACCCAGCAATGTGCCAAATCTGAAAGTAAGGAGAAAGAATAAAACTGAGTTTGGAGAGAGACTCTTCACATAGTACTCAGATTCCTAATAGGAGCTGATGATTTTGAAACCCTTTGTGTGACTGGGTCTCTGACCAGAATCCAGGGACAGGCTGGGGAGCAGCAGGGAGGGAGGCCTATTGTAGCTCACTGTGGAAATGGAGCCAGAATTTGTCAGTGAGGAATTTGCACAGAATGAACACACGGATACAAAGAGAACGGGAATGAATGAATATAAATCCAGGTCTGTCAGACTCTAAAACCCAGGAAGACAGTGCTTTTTCTAAATGTGAATTTCCTCCAGAACCGTGGTTCTCAAATGCATTCAGTCAGCAGGGCACCTGGAGGACACTGCCATTCTTTGAACCTCTTCACAGGTCCCTTTTCCAAATATAGTCGCACTGGGGGCTAAGGCTTCAATAGGAATTTGGGTTGGGGTGAGAGCATAGACATTTATCCTCTAACAGACAACATCTAGAATTGGATTCTAATAGAGACAAATAATAGTCACTTTCAAAGTTACAGGAAAAATTAATCAGAGGAAAATTTCAAAGTGAAAAAAATTTTACTTATAAATACATTTTCTTCGTGAATTGAAGCAGGGGAATTCCTTACCATTATTTGATTTTGCAGTAGGACTCATTGGCCAACTTGTTTTGGGAATAAATAGGAGACTACATTTCATTTGCAGTCCACTTGGCCAGATGTTTCATCTTTTCTCATTTGAGATCCACTATTATATTCAGTTAAAAAAGGAATGTGTCCAGCAATGACATACACAGTTCATCCATTCTTCAGTGTTCTGATGGAAAATGCTGGCAATCTGAAAATTCAAGAAATAATAGTCCTTGTAGAATGAATGGTACTCTGTCATGGGTGAAGGACTTTTTTTTTTTGGTAAATATTTTTATTTAAAATTTCGTTTGATTAGGTCATCAAAGTGTATTTGCCAGACTTTCATTGTTGTTTTTCCAAGGAACATGATATAATACAAAATCTTGGGCCCACCAGTAAACTGACTGAATCAGAAACTTGAGCGTGAAACAACTTTCTTTTAACAAACCTTCCAGAGGTTAGAGTTTGAGAGGCACTGGTTTAGGTGAAGCTGTCTTTATTACAAATACTTTGAAGTCTAATGTTATTTATATATTTTTAATTTTTTTTTTTTTTTAGTACTGGGGATTGAACCAGGGGGACTCTACCATTTTATATCCTCAACCTTTTTGGGGTTTTATTTTGAGACAGGGTCTAGCCAAGTTGTTCAGGCCGGCCTTGAAGTTTTTATCCTCCTGCTTCAATAATGGGGTCTGTCACCATACATGGTTATATTATTTAAATTTATTAGGAGAAATGCATATTTTTCTAGTGCCCTTGTTTTTTGTTAGATTTGTAAAATCTGTAACCATCCTTAAAATGTTTGTTTCCATTACTTTCAAAATTTAAATTCCTGCTATGCACGATGGTTCATGTCTGTAATCCCAGCAAGTCAGGAGTCTGAAGGCAGGAAGATTGAGAGTTCAAAGCCAGCCTTAGCAACTTAGCAAGGCCCTAAGCAATTTAGCAAGATCCTGTCTCAGGAAATAATAAGGACTGGGAATGTGGCTCAGTGGTTAATTGCCCCTGGGTTCAATCTCTGGTACAAAAAAAAAAAAGAAAAAAGAAATTAAATTGTTAAGGCCTTTATTGCTTATGTTTATAAATTCATATATGTGAAATGGAAATATTTACTTTGTCACTGATTTATTAGGTGGATATGCAGTGGGTACAGGTTCTGGCTGAAGGTTGGGCAACACCACTGAATGGCTTCATGAGAGAGAGGGAGTACTTACAGTGCCTTCATTTTGATTGTCTTCTGGATGGTAAGATATTTTACATTCAAAATTACATTGTGCATGGAAGAGAAATTATATAGCTTCAAGTATCTGTCACTGTTTATAATGGTAACTAATTAATACCATTAAGTCCCAAGTTTTCAGTTCTGTGTATTGTTCAACAAAATTGACACGGGTACATTAAAATAGGTTGACAATCATAATCTAGAGCATATATGAGCGTGTGTGTGTGTGTGTGTGTGTGTGTGTGTATATATATATATATATATATAAAATTATACTAACTAGTGCTAATATATTATGATTATTTTGTCATAATTATGTTATTTTTATTAATAATAATATGTATCATATAATGATGTTTATCCTGTAATTTTTATAGATGTTCCACATCTGGGTTGATGGGGCACAATGGGTTAATTGAGGTAACTTTTGAAGACTGTTACATTGGTCCTTAAGGCATGTGAGAGCCTGTTTCAGTTTTTGTTTCTCTGATTGTGATTTATTGTAGAGGGAGATGGAGGACCTGAAAATTCAGGCAGAGCATGGGTTGTAAAAGCAAATATAGTTTTCCTGTATCATATCCACTTGATCGCTGTAGAAAGCACCTTCTGGAACCTTGCAGTTGCACACCAAATTTTGCTATACTGTAGCCATGCTAGAACCTTCAAAAGAGGAATCATGGAATCCAAGTTAAGGAATCCTGAAATAGATGGCTAAACATACAGTTTTTCCTATTCTCTTAAACCACTTAAAAAATGGCCAAGGGAATTAATGTTCAGTGTATTATCATCATAATCCAGCTATCTTTATATTATGTACTGGTGGTCATTGTAATTGAGCATTCATTATGCAAAATATTTTTGAATGTCACAGAATCCAAAATTAACTACCAGGTTCTTATATGCATGACTTCTTTTACCAGGGGAGTGAAATTGATGTTAGAAATTATAATTATTAATCATTCTCCTCAAGAAACTTTATTACAAGAACATAAGGATTAAATATTGCACTTTGATTTTCCTCTTTAAAATTATTGGTTGTCTTTGTGGACTATCTATAGTGACTCAGTCTTAGGCTTAGTCTTTAGCGTCACTAAATTAATTAATTAATTAACTAATTGGTACTGGGGATTGAACCCAGGGTCACTAAACCACTGAGTCAATCCCCAATCCTTTTTAAAAATATATTTTATTTTGAGACAGGGTCTTACCGAGTTGCTTAGGGCCTCACTAAGTTGCTGAGGCTGGCTTTGACCTCACGATCCTCCTGCCTCAGTCTCCCAAGCTACTGGGATTACAGGTGTGCACTACCATGAATGGCTGTGACTTTGCATTTTAAACTGTACCTAGTAGTGGTAGGTATATCTTTGTCCAAATAACACATGCCTTGATTCCCAAAAAGTATGGTTTCTTCAATAAGTCAGTCCAAATATGAATTTACATTTTATTCTTCTAAGCCATACACCATGTCTTGAGAAGAAAAACTTTTGCAGCTTGAAAGGTTGGAACCTGAGACAGTTCCTCTGATCTGGCTCAGAGCACAGAGCACATTTTGATCTAAATGGAGCCAGTGATTGCTACCTTGGCCTATGATAGTAGACATTAGTTTGATTCTGATTTTATATGTATATTATATATGTGTTTGTGTGTATACACACACACACACATAGCTTTTGGGGCAGTTTTGTCTTCCTATTGCATTGATAATCAAGAATATTTAAATATACTTAATTAACTTGACACTTAAAATATACTTATTTATGGTTTGCCTTCAATAAGGATTTAAATTTTTCTTGCAAGCTTCCTGAAACATAGTTGTTAGTTTCATTTTTATGATAGGTCTGCTTGATATATTTTTGGCACTGCTAATCATAACTAGCTGATGCTGCCTTGTTAAATGGTTTCTTTTACTTTTTAATTCTTATAAAAATTTTCTCTCAGGTTGAAGAATAGATGTGGAAATGTTACCCTACACAGTGTTGATTATTTTAGTTTTTTTTTAACTGCAATTCTTGCTGCTTGTCCCTGCCCTTGTAGTTTGTTCCTTCTCCTGATTTTCTTAGCCAGGTACTAAGGAATACTGCCATTAGACCCATAGCCATTTTTCATTTGAAGTGTCCACTTAAGTGGGAGGTGGCTAGGCTTGTTGAGTAACCCACACTGTGTGCTTTGTGTTCTCTTGTGTCCTGCAGGGGGTGTCATAAACTTGTCAGTGCCTATAGTTCTGACAGCTACTCAAGAAGAGAAGGAGAGGCTGGATGGATGTACAGCATTTGCTCTCATGTATGAGGGCCGCCGTGTGGCAATTCTTCGCAATCCAGAGTTCTTTGAGCACAGGAAAGAGGAGCGCTGTGCCCGACAGTGGGGCACAACATGCAAGAGTCACCCATATATTAAGGTCCTTAATACCCCTTGCTGAGTTTTCTTTGTCAATAACATTTGTACCAAAATGTGGGCACTTCCTGTGTGTTAACTGCTCCATTGGAATTGTTAATAATTTGCAGAATTGTGATTGGTTCTTCAATTAATGTAGTGAGAGTGTGGGCTTGTCATTTGGTCCAGATAAATATTTATGCAATAAATCCTTATAATTATTTTTACTTTTTGGTGATGGAGATTGAACCCAAGACCTCATACATGCTAAGAACTTGCTCTGCCACTTAACTACACCCTGAGCCTATAACAAGTATTTAAAAACAGCAAGTATATATACAGGCACAAAGCTAGGTGATGGTCCTTGGAATATAGTGCTGAGGACATGCTGGGCACCATGTTTATGACCTTGGAGTTTTGTGGGAGCAGGTATTAATCATTACTGACAGGAGGATATGGGGTCAGGCTGCTACAGGAGCCCACAGCAGGGGCTTTTCTGGTATAAAAGCAATGAAATGTACTTAGTTTCTCCAAAGTGTCCTTTTTACTTAATGTATTGTGTGTGGAATGTTAGCATTGAGGTCAAGTTTCTGTCATTTATTAGGTATTTTAAAGTAGATTGGAGCTTAAAAAGGAACTATGTGCATTGTTGGCATGTGAACCAAGGTGACAAGGGATAAAGGGTGGGCTTGAGCTGCATTATGAAAGCAGGCAGGTCCTGGAGGGTAGTGTCTCCTCCTTTCAGATGCAGGGAAAGATGAGTGAAGTTGGAAGAAACTTGAGGTAATGTAGATGAGTTTGTCAATGATCTTGACAAATTAGTATAAATTTGAATTTGTCAATGATGTTAATGTTTTAAAAGTTTAGGATTATAGCACACAGAGAGTGGGGTGACCCAGGGTTATAAATTTTGTTAATTAACATACAACAACAAAAATAATACTTTCATTACTTAAAAAATCGTTAATTATTCTTATGGTTTCTTACCTTTCATGTGTAAATTTAATAGTTGTTTCACAAGTTTTTTGAGAAATTACACAATATATTTTCTAATTCTGTAGCACCTCTAGTAGCACCAATTCAGTTGATCAGCTCAACAAATTTGCCATTGCTTTTACAATGGAGAATAGCTCACAGTGAATGTATTTAGTTTATATAAAAGGAATGTTCTTAATTTTTTATTTCTGTTTGAATAAGCTCTTTTTTTTTTTTTTTTTTTCATCCCATTAGATGGTTATGGAGCAGGGAGATTGGCTGATTGGAGGAGATCTTCAAGTCTTGGACCGAATTTATTGGAATGATGGTCTTGATCAATATCGTCTTACTCCTACTGAGCTCAAGCAGAAGTTTAAGGATATGAATGCTGGTAAGACATGGACCTAATTACATGATATGGCACTGCTTGGAGACAGATTTCTAGAAGATTTTTTTTTCTCATGCTAACTGAAATGTATAAAAGAATGATAAGTTAAAGGTATCTGTAGCCTTGCACTATATAAGGAAAGGCAGACAGAGCCAGCCTGTGTTGTTTTGTTATAATGGTATAATTTGATCTAACATTTTGTATATACTCTGGAAGATGGATGCTATTATGGTTTAAGATACGAGGTGTTCTCCAAAAGCTAATGTGTTCCACAATGCAAGAAGGTTTAAAGGCGAAATGATTAGGTTATGAGAGCCTTAACCTAATCAGTGCATTCATCCACTGATAGTGACTGACTGTGTGGTAGCATTAGGCCGATAGGGTGTGGCTAGGGGAGGGGGTCATTGAGAGATTGCCTTTAGGGTTTGTATTTTGTCCCTGGTCAGGGGAGCGCTTTCTCCTTCTGATTGTCATGTCCTGAGCTGCTTTCTTTCACCACATCCTTTTGCCGTGATGTTCCGCCTCATCCCAGGCACACAGCAATGGAGTGAACCATTTGTGGACTGAGACCTCTGAAACTGTGAGCCCCAAGTAAACTTTTCATCCTCTAAAATTATTCTTGTGTTTTGGTTGCAGCGACGAAAAAACTGACTAAAACAGATCTTAATAACAAATTGAACTTTTGTTTGTTTCTTTATTATAAAACTTGTGTTTAAGCTGAATAGAACTTCAGAACAGAATTTATTTGAAAATGAACTTATTTAGGAATTTCTTAAAAGTGGAATGTATCACAGCAGCACATAAAGAACAATGGAACTTTTATTGTGTTCTTTTTATTGAAATCGTATTTATTGTGCCAAGTGCTAAAGAGCCACAAATAAATAAATGTGAGGGGTTTGTGGTATAAAAGAGCGAGATATTAAACAGTAACAGAATTTTTAGAGTAGGTCAGTAATGAGTTCACATCACTTCTAGGTTTAGATGAAATGGAGCAGTAAGAATAGAAAGGCCCAGGTGCCATTCATTACCATACTGTCTTGTACACTGTGAAATTCTCCAGGACAAGATTTTTATGTGAGATTTACTACTGTTAGGTATTGTCCACAGACAGAGGGAAATGACCTGCTTTCGTGGTGCACCGCACTCCTTCTCTGACCACACCGGCAAGTTCAAGGTGCTATGTCAGGGAGCAGCATCCCTTGTAGTCTTTGGGAGCCTTTTTTTTTTTAAGATCTGAAGAATTTGAAGCCTCTTGCTCTCATGCTGTCATTCATGCTCATCCTCCACAGAGAGGGGAAGGCCTTAAGCCTTAAGCATTGGTGCTGCTCTCTGCTATTTCCTGTGTAGAGGTCAGGTGAATGCGGCTGACGGGGAAATATCTGGCTACCCAGCCATACCAACAACCACAAGCTCCTGTTCCCAAGGGACTATAGAGCATGTGGCAAAGGCAGCTCTTATTCTGTCATTTGTGGTCAGCTCCTGTGAACTCTAGTGTCAGATCAGAGTCTAGAACACAGACCTTTGCCTTCCTCACCACCTAGGAGTTCTGCAGCTGGGCGGAAACTACTTTCCTTTGAGAATACCGATAGAATCCAAAGATAAAATTTTTATTTTTTAAATTTTTTTTTAGTTGTTGATAGACCTTTATTTTATTTATGTATTTATATGTGGTGCTGAGAATTGAACCCAGTGCCTCACACATGCCAGGCAAGTGCACTACTGCTAAGTCCCAGCCCCAGCCCCCTAGGATTTTATTTTTAAAAGTGAAATGGCCAGGCACTGTGGTGCATGCCTATAATCCCAGCAGCTCTGGAGGCTGAGGCAGGAGGATCGTGAGTTCAAAGCCAGCTTCAGCAAAAAGCAAGGCAGTAAGCAACTCAGTGAGCCCAAATTAGTCTGTCTTTGAATGAAGATTAAAGAATATGTGTTCATTCCTGAGCCCTGCTATAGTTTGCTGAAATTTGAAGTGATAGGAACTTGAAGTGGCTTAAGAACTGGAGGCCTCAGGGGGGTTGCACACTCTCTGGTACTCCATGCTTTCCACACAGCCTGCCTCCTTCATTCACATTTCCTATGTGGCCTCTTAGGATTTGAGGGCAGGAGCTTCCCTGCCTTCTAAACGTTACTCCTACCCTCTGAATTTAAAGCAGATATTTGGCTTAAACTACTTACATACTTCTGAGTGCTACACTTGATGGTTACCTGTGTACAGTTCATTTCTCTTTATTGGTTACACATTTTGGGCCCAATTGATGAATGATTAATGATTGAGTTAATTTAGTAATGGCAATCTAGTAGTCTCTTGTCAGTGTGTGTTAAGGATCTGTGTATATCAGTTTTGGCTACTGAGCTATTAGGAGTGGGCTTCCAGGAAAGATTTCCTTTCTGATGAGAAATTGGATTTCTTTCTGATTGGTATGCTGTCACATGAGGATACAGTATTTGGAGCTCCTGCAGCCATTTTGTATACAAGAGAATCCCAAATATGTTAATCTATGTTCTTCTATCATTTGAGTTTCTGATCTGACTGTGGAGTCACCTACCTCCAGATTTCTTTCTTTCTCTCTCTTTCTCTTTTGTTATTTCTTATTTTTTTAATGTAGATGGGCACAATACCTTTTTCTGTTTGTTTATTTTTATGTGGTGCTGAGGATCAAACCCAGTGCCTCACACATGCTAGGCATGCATTCTACCACTGAGCTATAACCCCACCCCCCAGATTTCTTATTCAAAAAGAACATACATATTTGAATTACCTAAGACACTTCTATTTTAGTTTTGTGTTATTTGTAACCAGAAGCATTGGAGAGTTTATTACATGTAGACTTCTCTCTCTCTCTCTTTTTTTTTTTTTTTTGGCCAACAGAAATACATTTAATGGAGGACTTGCTGAGACCACCTTATTTTATTTTTTACCAAAGTTTGAATTCATATCTGGAATTGATATTAGTAAATTAATTTTGGCATGGTAGAGAGGTCTTATCATGGAATTGTTGTTCATAATTAGACACTTTAATATTACATCTGTTTTGCACTCTTCTTTTTGAGCCAAACATTTTTAGTCATTTAGGGAATTTGTTGCATAATGAGTGACTGCATCTTTGTTTAAAGTAGCTAAGAGCCAGTTATTAGCCTTACATCAAACAACAAAGATTCGTGGTGTGATTTTATTTACTTTTCCATTTTAGACTAAGGCAAATAAGCAACAGACCAAGGAGTTTACTTTGTAGTACTTGTTCGCTCTTTTAGGAAGTCAATAACAAGTCAGTCACTGATGTGTTCAAGGGAGAGGCTATTTACTGTTTTTTTGACCAGAGTTTTCTTTTTCTTACCTCTTCCTCCTCCTCTTCCCCTCATGTTAGAAAAAGTATTTTGATCACTCCATGCGGACTCTTGTCCTGCGTGCAACATTAATTCAGTCTGTGTGACTGTTTCTAGACCATTCTGAAGTTGAAAGATCAAGGGGTTTTTAATACCCACACCAGCGATTGCAAGCAGTACATTTCCAGATAGCAGGTCCTTTGAATTGCTGATGAGTGATCAATATCCTGGAGAGGGAGAAGTGGTGTCACTTAAGCCACAGAAGAGCCTGTTAGTATTTTTTACACAGGGACCATGGGTGTCATTCCCTGCTAATGACAAAGGGAAAAGCTTGCTTAATTTCTTTCAAGCTAATATGCTGCAGAGTAGTGTGAACACATCTGAGAAAGCTTTGTGGAATTGTTGGATTATGAGCTATATTTTAAATGCTGGATAGAGTTGTTAGGCTATTTTAGGTAATGGTGGAGGCGATGCGTGAGAAAGCTGAGGGGAAAACAGGAGATTTGTCTTTGAAATGGTGGGCTTCCTGGATCATGAACGGCAGTGGGCAGTGAGCTAGAGATGCTGCATCCTAGAGTGGAAGGGAAGGGACTCTGTGTTGGGTCTCAGCAGCAAGCAGAGGCATGTCCATGGTTGGAGCTGAGGGGACCCACAGGGAACGCTGAGGTGGCATTGGTAGCATTACCAGGCCTGAAGGGGAGGGAAGGAAGGAGTGTTTCTGGAGCCAGATGGGAGCTGGAGCTGTGAGGAGGCACTTCGGGCAGAAGCCAGTGCAGGGACATGTGGCACAGCCAGGATTACAGAGCCAAGATGTTTCCAGGGGCCAGAGCTGCCCCAGCGGTTTCTCTCCCTTCATCCTTTGCTGCCTGCTAATGCCTCCCGTTGTGGAGGCAGGAAAACAGCACCCCACTCCAGGGTAATCTCTAGAAGGAACCCCCCCCCCCCAATCCTGCCTGGCGTAGACAGCAGTGGATAAAGAGAAGCATGGGCAGTAATTGGCAAGAGAGCAGTGGGCAAAAGCTTTATATTCGGCATAATTTTCTACTTTCGTTTCAAAGCATTTCCAGTCTTTAGAGAATAGCCATTGCTGCCATATTCTGGGGAATGAGAATATCAGCTTGTGAAAAGTCTAATTAATGTGCTCATATTTACTCAGGTGGCCTATCTTCATCACTCATTGATTCCTTTTTTTCTTTCCCCTCATAAACAGTTTAAGTGAAAGAAAGACCTATCATTTATGACAATCCTAAGGGGTAAGGGGAGATCCAACTCCGTACTTCCAGCTCCCTTATAAACAAAACCAAACCAAAATTTCCACAAAGCACCCACACCCATCCATTTATTGACACCTGTATAAACACACACACACAGGCATGTTCACACACGCTCACTAACAACACTAGAATTATTTTCAGAACTTTTCAGGTACTATGTTGATTTAGGGATAATTGGAAATGCCTATTAGAGTTTGGGGGCAGATAAAGTGGCCGTTGATAAATCTTGAGTCAGAAAGGAAGGGGAGCATTATTAATTATTGCTATGTAGGACACTTTCACAGAACAATGGAGATTCAGGCAGATGTTGTAATTCTGGGTCTAGTGGTTCCGGGGCATCCTGGGGTTCCTACTGGGCTGGGGAGTGAAGCACAGTTCTGAGAAATCTGAGGAGGGCTGGTTAGGATT